ACATCCTTCAATAATTTTACGCATTTGAGACCTTGAGGGACTTCAAGTAGCAATAGGTAAGATTTTGATATCAAGTTATCCTTAAATGGCATTAATATGTCAAAAGTAAGCAATAATAAACCAAGCTCTTTTCGAATATTTATTTCACTCATAAAAGTAGTTAAGCCTGGATATGCAAAATTGGATTTACAGCCCCAAGATATTGTTATTGTTTTCATTTTGATGTCCTGTCCTCCACGTTTCACCAATCAGAAAGTCCGTGATCCGCGTCTAGCTAAGTAACATGTCAGGCACAGTACTAAAAAAGGTCTCGTTATGATTCTCAAATCAGGAATAACACTAGGGATTCTATCGGGGATGCCATTGTGAAAAGGTGTTGACAAAACTGTTGTCTATTCAGCTATTATGGTCCCAACTGGATTTGTCTGCATATCTGGCAACCTGAGTCAGGGAGAGTGGGAGAGGACTAAAGAATCTTGACAGCGATTGCAGTACCACTTTTGGTCCGATTTTTACATATTGCTCCTTTAATGTAACTTGAGATTTTACATTCATGTCCGTAATCTAAAATGTAAACAGTTGTATTGATAAAACCATGGAAAAACTAGCTCCCATCTTGGTCACATATCCAGATTCTGAAATCACAACTAATTCCCAAACCAAAATTGTTTGTCAGCCTTCCAAGCCACCGGAGGTTTGTCTAATTTGCAGAACACAAATGAGTCAGCGCAGATGAGAGGGAGTAATGGAAATATGTGAGAATCAATCTCAATTCAAGATAAAGGGGCAGCCTTAAACACGTTATTATGGAATCTGATACTGATTGTGTAGAAAGAAACTCGACAACTGAGGCCACAGTGAGTTTCATGAACAGATTTCTGAAATTATACATGTTGTCTTCACTGTCTATGTCAAAACTTGCAATCTACATGGCGGCACGGTGGCAGAGTGGATAGCACTCTCGCCTCTCAGCAAGAAGGTCCTGGTTCGAATCCCGGTCGGACCAGGGCCTTTCTGAGTGGAGTTTGCATGTTCTCCCTGTGTCTGCGTAGGTTTCCTCCGGGTACTCCGGTTTCCCCTACCACTAAAAATATGTACAATAGGTCTGGCATGCGCCTCCTGTACTGGCGACCCCGCTCCCATCTCTGTGTGGAGTGAGAGACAAATGCCCAAAATTAACAATTGTAAACCGCTTTGAGACTCAGATCTGCAGTGAAAAGGCGGTATATAAATAAAAACTTACTAACTTACTTACTTACATGTAATTATTAAAAAGTCTGTTGGGTTTGTTGAGTTTAACTAATTTAATTCATGGAGTTTACCAAAAAGTTTATTTCACTAAATGCATTTGAATGTTCCAAAACTGGGGTCCTGTTAATTGAATACTGCATTTATTACGGCAAATAACTGTTAACACTATTTATAAACTGCACCTAAATTAAAGATTCATGATTAGAATTGAATCATTAATCATATTTGGTTTTCACTGTGGTTTTTATTGTTATGATGGAATGTTCTCGCGGCTCCATTTCTAAACAAGGTTTCTTTCGTCTCAACTGAGAAGCTCTGCAGTAGATCACAACAGAAAATGAGTGAGTTCATTTTGGAGTGGAATGTAAAATGTGAATTAAACAGTCCTTCAAGAGATTTTTTAAAACGGTTTACTGTAGTTATATGGGTACAATAATGGTTTGGTGAATTCCAATGATCCTACGGTTTTTTGGATCCCTGGATATTGGCTCTTCCTATCGTTGTGAAGCAGAATCAACCAAGCGTTGGATTGTGAAACCACTAGGGAACGCGAGACAGGTTAAATTTGTGTAAACTCAGTCGTACAGGGATTATTTAAAACAAAGGAAATGTGCTATGCTAACTGAAGAACAGATGAAGGGTGAGCAACCATCCTTTGTTGTGAGACAGGTTAAGTTTTACTGATGATGTGCTGTTGCAATAGTAATGCTGCTGACATGTTGAGTTTATTAGGTTGGGAGTTATTGTCACAAAGGTTTGGGAACCCCTGCTCTGGAGACATAGCATAGTCCACAAAGAACACTTTAGCCAACTTCAGCTTTTCTCCACTATATGCGTTATTTTTGGTTAGAATTGTATCATGGCATGGAAATCCCATTAGTGTGGATGTAGCCTTAAATACACTGTGGCTAAATTGGCCAAATAAGACGGTGTTGGCTGTAATCACTCTCCCTAATGTTATACTCTCCTCCTCTGCCTTTGGGGCCTCACCACCAGCACCACGACATGGTTCTGATCTGAGCTAAACACAGACAGGAAACCATATGTCTGCACATGAGGCCTCCACCGAGCACACTGGAGTTTGGGTCTCCTTCAGAGGAGCTGCTGCTGCTGTTGCTGCTGCTGCTGCTGCTGCTGCTGCTGCTGCTGCTGCTGCTGCTGTTGCTGCTGCTGCTGCTGCTGCTGCTGCTGCTGCGGACCGGTGGTGATGTAGTGTTGTCATGATACCAAACTGACACAAACCTAATTCTGATACTAAGAAGTGGACACAATACCAATTTTGATACCACTGTGATAATCATCTGCCATTCTTAATAATAATAACAGTACAGTATGTTTTTTGCCAATATCAAATTTCACTGGCTCATATTTTAAAACAGAAAAGGAATTCTAGACTGTAATGAGACTTACTTTTTGCTAATGTATTCCAATGTGGGTTTTTTTTTACTGCAAATGGCAAATAAACTGAATCTGAATCTGAATCCTACTGTATTCAATGTATGATGACCAGAAACGGCACCAAAGGAAAATACTAAGGGAATGTATGTTTAAAATGAAAGCTTTCCCCAGGATCCAACCACCAAGTACTCAGCTTTAGGATTATCAATGCCTCCTTTAGGAAAAAGTTTATATGATTTCTTGTATCCATGTTATCTCACTATGACAAAATATCTATTGGTTTATGGTCGTTTTAATTGCTAGTAAGTGTGAGTAATTTATTGCAAAAAGATTATCAGTATTGGGTGAAAAGTTGCAGTTGATATATCAGTCCATCAACATACTGTAGATAGACTGAGAGCTCATTCCAAGTTACGGTAAATGACTCACTTTAAACTCTGACTATTGCTTGTGGTGATGATAGATCTACACAACAGTTACACTGCAAAAAGTAGTGAAAGATAAGTCAAGAATTCGTCAAGCACATTCTGACTGCCTTAAAACAAGATTTGCCAATGGGACAAAGCAAAATGACCTTGAAATAAGACTAAATGGCTTTGTCCAATTGGAAAATATTGTTCAAGACAGTTGGAGTGTATTAAAATTAAGATGAAAACACTTGATTCAAGCTATTATTACCTCATTTTGCAGTGTAGAGTGAGTTCTCTACTTGTACACCACATCAAAGCATAGTTTTTAACTTTTTTCCTACCACTATTTTCAGTGTGCTTGATACGAGATCAGTATTAGATATATGTATAATACGTGGGTTGCAAAAGATATCGCACAAAATATTGTTTTTGCGATGTTGGAAAGTGCTATACTGATAAAAGCGAATAGGTGTATGTAAAGATCATGCTCTTTTTCATGCACTGGCATTTGCTTCTACATCGACAGACTCTCTTTAGTCAAGTGGCCTGAAAGAGCAAAACACAACATGACAAGAGATGAGAGGGAGAACACTCCAGTTCCAACATGAATATTGATTCCTTTGGGGAATGAAAATGTTGCTAATTGTATTGTTATCCCACTCCCTGACACCACTATCGCATGTCACACCTCACTCCAAGCTCATGCAGCCTACAGCTAACATCGAGGAGTTGGTTTGTCTCAATTTTCAGAAAAACTCACAACTAAAATGTTATTGGCAGCATCAATACTGACATTTTCAAAAACATGTATGTTGATAATATAATTTGAAATAATATCATAGCCTATAGTAGACCATAGACAGTAAGTGAATCCATCTGACCATCCGAGTAACCACCAATGACCAATCACAACTCAATGCATTTCCGAACTGTTTGTATTGGAAGAATAGACCGTATTTAGGACCACAGTGTTAGACTAAATCCCGAAGAAGTCAATTTGAACATAAGTTAGCTGGAGGCAATTTCTGTCTATTTGTTTGCTGTAACAGGGGCAGATGTGTTGCCAAGACGGTTGCTAAGGCAAGCTGGAGTTTCCCCCGATAATGAAGGCATCTGATTGGTCAATCCTATGGCTCATATGTGGATTTACAAACAATAAATAGAACATACAAACTCTAGCATCACAGAGAGAGCTAAAACACAATTTAGTTTAAAGCGGTGAGTGGCACAAATCAACAAGAGCCAGAGAAACTCGGAGAAAAACTTTGCTCATGAGCCCTTCCCTATTGGGCTCCATTGAGCTAGGATGTTAGGATTGTGAGTTTTTAAGCGTATCAATTACACCAGGCATGTCCAAACTCAGGCCTGGGAGCCAAATGTGGCCCTCAGTGTCATTTTGTGTGGCTTTCTGCCTTGCTAACCAAAAGTAGTCTTTGAGATCATTGCGTCATCCATCCAACTGCAGCTCAGCCAAAATAGACCTTGTTCAAAAGCTCAGTACGTTGTTGACTTCATTTGTACACACTGTACTGACGTGGTTTTTGATTGTGTCACAAACTTTCGTCGTTCATGGTGGTAATGTAGCTGGTGAGATGGTAAACATGTGTCATTCAGCCAACTTCAGCTCTGTTATAGATCATCTTAAATCTCAGAACAGCCTGATGCCAGTCAAGACAGTTTTTCAGTCCGTGATGTCGGCCCCTGAACTAAAGTGGCCCTCTTACTAAGGGTTTGGACACCCCTGAATTACACCATCCTTAAAGCACTTTTTTGACACTCAAAGATGATAATGTTGACGATATCAAATGCCATTAAATCCCAGTGGAAAGAATGAAAAACCAAAGCCCATTTAGTCCTTAATGTTGCAAACACACAATAGTCTAGACAAGAGGATCTTTAAGTCTATAGCATGATAATGAATAGTTATTAGGTGAATCTTACTGGGCGGGAATGAGAGCCTGTCGTTGCACTCGTCCTTAGAGCAGGAGCAGATGTAGGCGGCTCCTCCGGTCGTGTTTTTCTCCTTCATCACACACGTGGAGCTGTTGTAGTCGTCTAGCATCACTCCGTACAGAGAAATGGTTGGTTCATGGCACAGAGTCTCGATGGAGGAGCTGGTCTCATTTTTCCTCCTGGAGAATAAAGGTAGAAAGATAGGAAGAAGTCTTTTGGACCACGAGGGTCAATTTTCCAGATCTATCGAAACAAAATATGTATTGTTTAGAATATCCAAACTGTCATTCATATCAATATCCACCAAACACAAGATGTAGATGTCATATACTGTGCAAAATTACACTTTAGGATATTTCAGCTTTTTTCATGTAAATATGTAAAATAGGATTTGTTTCGGTGGTGGTTTGACAGTCACTGTTTTTGTTGCCATGATGAAGATGATGACACTTAGGATGATCAAGAAGAGCCTTGTGCACATACAGTACATGAAGGCAATTTTCAATACAATAGTTGGGTGGCCAAAAGTATCGGAGACCAGATCGATACTAATCTGATACTAAAACTCATTACAAAAAGCAGATTCTCATTTGAGCAAGTATAATTGATCTCACAATGGAGAAATGTGCATGTTTCAACACAAATATAATGTACCTGAGAGAAGACTGGAATCCTGAAATAACCTGTCATGTTGTATAACTACTTTGAGCCCAAATATCAGCCTGTTAAAACCACCATCCTTGTGGTATTGACTCAGAATGATTGACCTTGTATTGTGAAGAGTGTGATTCAAAAATGTATTTAAAGCAAGGTTAGGATAGCTTGGAACGGAAATCTACCTCATTGGGGCACTTTCATCATCAAACTGCATCTCACCCATTTGTTAGAGCCTTATAATTAAATTATTTGTGCTTCTACATCTTTTCCAATTTTTTTTTTTTAAAGTGATGAAAAATAAGTCAAAAATTGCTCAAATTTGGCACACAAAAAAAGTACATTAATTTGAGCATATTTTGACTGCCTATAATACACAATTTCCCCATTGAACAAAAAGAAAAATCTTGTTTAAAAAAAAAGAAATGTCTTCCTTCCATGACAAAATAAATGACGTTTTTTAAATAAGTCCCATTTGCAAATACAAATGAGACAATTACACAATTTTAAGATAAAAACACTCAATTCAAGCAATTATTACCTCATGTCATTTTTTGCAGTGAACATTAAAGGGTTAATGTGATAAACAGGCTAAATAAATACAGCATAAACACAGCATACATACAGCATACTTACAGCATACATACAGCATAAATACAGCATACATACAGCATACATACAGTATACATACAGCATACACACAGCATACACACAGCATACACACAGCATACATACAGCATACTTACAGCATACATACAGCATACACACAGCATACTGTACATACAGCATACATACAGTATACATACAGCATACATACAGTATACATACAGCAGACATACAGCATACACACAGCATACACACAGCATACATACAGCATACATACAGCATACACACAGCATACATACAGCATACATACAGCATACATACAGCATACACACAGCATACTTACAGCATAAACACAGCATACATACAGTATACATACAGCATACATACAGCATACACACAGCATACACACAGCATACACACAGCATACATACAGCATACATACAGCATACATACAGCATACACACAGCATACATACAGCATACATACAGCATACATACAGCATACACACAGCATACTTACAGCATACATACAGCATAAACACAGCATATATACAGCATACATACAGCATACATACAGCATACACACAGCATACATACAGCATACATACAGCATACATACAGCATACACACAGCATACTTACAGCATACATACAGCATAAACACAGCATATATACAGCATACATACAGCATACATACAGCAGATATACATACAGCATATATACAGCATACATACCATATAGCGACGCAGACCTCTGTGTGGTGGGCGCAGATGGAGGTGATGCCGCAGTTGGTCACACAGGTCCCGGTCCCGTTGCAGGACGACAGCTCCACGTCACAGAACTTACAGAGAGTACTGAGGGGGTACAGCATGGGGATCCCTGCAACTGACCAGCTCGCCATTAGGAGTTTGCATAAGGAACATTTATACAACGTGAACTTTTTTCTTGCATGCAAAATAACATCCCCTTTGCCAGCTGTACATAACCAAACCTATTGATAGCAAGGTTGATCCGACATATACTAACAGACATATAACATGCAATTTGTTGAATTTGAAGTAATAATGCTTTTTTATTTTGTTGTTTTTTTAAATGTATTTTATTGTTTTATGTTTAGTTATTTATATCGTTAATTGTTAAAGCTGTCAGAGTTGTATATTTTAATGTGTTACTTTAATCTGTGCATTAAATTGGATTGTATTAAACAATTTCAAAGCGAGGAACGGAGATAGCGACAAAATTAAATGATCACAAATGATTTTTACAACCACTGAATCAGCTAGTAAAAATATATAATTCACCACATTACTCTCTTTCTTAAAAAAACAATATAGAAGAAAATATGCATTTCAAAATACGGGTTAATTCTTGAGACTCTATTGGGTAAAAACAGTTTTGGGTGTCGGAGAAAGCTTAAGATATCTTGATGATAAACAGCTGTCAACACTGTAACCACGTTTTCAATCTTGGGCACACGATGAACCACCTCGTGTGCGCTTTAGAAAGAGCCGGAGGCAAAGCGGCGGCCGAGCTAAAACAGACTGAAGCCACAAAACACTCCAGAGCCAGACGACCACAGCTAAATCAATACAGACCATCGTGCACATCAAAAACACTCCGACGTATTTGAAATAACGACGGCGAAGGAAGTCCCTGAAAACGTTTGAATGTTCCGAACATCAAAGAAAGAATGCAGGAATGTCCCAGGATTTTTTAGAAAGGGTAAGTTATAAAATGAGTAACTAAATGCGTTGGGTACACTTGCTGGCTTCTGTGGGAAAGCCATATCCTGTTACATCCTTTCCAAGCTAAGCAGGACAGGGTTTGGTTAGCTCTGTGATGGGAGACCTCTGAGAGAAATCCAGCTGGTTATCTTTGTATGTGTTGTGAAATTACATACAAGTATTTTCACAATCTTTGTATGTATACCTTTGGATCTTATACACTCAAGTAATGTTTCTTTGCACTATACAGGTGTTTCTTTATTAATCTAAATATAAGATAATATATATTTCAAGTATAGAGTTAGGCTATACTCCTCATTCTTATTGGATGCAACACTGAAATGCCCCCACTGTCATAATTCATTTTATATTACACTTAAGAGTCATTTTGCCTACATGTGTATGGCTGCATTGATTTGAAATCTCAGCTGCTGCTTTTACTGACAGGAAAACTTAGAGAATTTACCACTAACTCTAAGATTCTGCTTAACTTTTATTGCTGCACCATTGAAAGTTTGCTTGTTGGTTCTGTGACTGTTTGGTTTGGTGACATCACAGACAGAGAAAGGAGAGTCTAAACAAGAGCTGTGAGATTCCTGTTCTAGAGGTTTTTTATTAATCCAGACTTTTAAACTGAGCTCTTCGAATAATCAATGACTCTCCTTGCCACCCTGGAAAAGCCATGTTCCAGCTTCTTCCCTCTGGCGGAAGATATTGTTCGCTGAGATGCAGGACATCTCTTTCCAAAAACTGTCTTGCCTTTGTATTGAAACTGTTTTAGTTGATTGATTTCACAGTGTCAATTGTTTACTGTTTTGTTTGTTTCATTTCTGTACTTGTTTTGACTCTTGTGCACACTGGGGACTTTTGCAAATGTTTTCCAATGTGGTTTTACTGCAAATGGCAAATAAATGAATCTGATTTTTTATTCATAATAGTTTCAATTCCCCTCCCACGAAACACATGTACAACAACTCCCCTCTCTCTGGGTTCTGATTCTCTGTAATCTCAGTGGGACTTTCCGCAAATAGTCATCTATAATCAATAAATAAATAGGTGAAGTGTCATAATATTTGACTGTTGTGACTCATGCAGTTGTTGATTGTTTGGGGTGCTGCTGTCGTCTCAGTGTAATCTATACTATCTCCTCTTGGTGTTCAGCTCCTGTTGAGACACGTCCTGAGCCCTGTCCCCTCCTCTCTGACAGTACTGAAGCACACGGCTCTACACACTCAGGTCTTATGGGTTTTATGTCGTCTCCACTTCATTATATCACAGAAGATGGCCGTTTCCTTGACAGAATCTCTCGACTGGATAAATCCTTAATGATATTCCTCGTCTACAATACATTGAGATAACAGGATTATAGAAAGAATGATCAAACAGCTCAAACAGAATTACTTTATTTGCATTACACATTGTACAGAGAGTAATCTGCTCTGAACATCTCTTCTTCTTCAACCAAAACCATTTCCTTGTTCTCTGCACAACAAAACTTACTATGAGCTTTATACAAACAATGGTTCCCGCAACAGTTTCGTGACAAACCACCACCATCCAGATCACGAGTTTTAACACATTTGAGGAGAATAGCACTGAAATATTGAGCTGCAGTCAAAAGGCACATTGTTATTGTAAATTAGAATATGGAGTGTATGGAGTGACCCACTTTTAATGTCTGTTTTTAGCACCACTTGAATTGTGAGGTTCTTGTTTGTCTTTTTATTTTATTATTTTTTTTTTTATAGCATTTTTTTCATTCATAGATTCCCTTTTTTAAATGTTAATAAGATTTTCTATTTGGCAAACGTGTGAGTAAGTAAGTTAGTAAGTAATCTTTATGTATATAGCGCCTTTCAGAGACCAGATTCACAAAGTGCTTTACAATCGTTGCGGGCATTTGTCTCTAACTCCACACAGAGATGGGAGATGCCAGACCTAGTGTACATATTTTTAGCAGTAGAGGAAACTGGAGCACCTGGAGGAAACCTACGCAGACACTGGGAGAACATGCAAACCCCACAGAGAAGGTCTGGAGGTGGAATCGAACCCACCATAGATAGATACAACAGTAGAGTGACTTTATTCTTGATGTATCTATATGCAGCACTTTGGAAACTGTTTTTGTAAAATGTGTTATACAAAAAAAATTGACTGGATTTCTTTAGTAAAAATGTGGTTTTAGTTCATGTGAGAGGTCTTATCTCTGGATGAATGGTGTCCCGCCCCACGCTCCCGTAGCCATCAGTAGAACAGACGCGAGACAGAGGTATCACGACCATCTTCACAGCTACAGATTATTCTTTTCAATGCTGTAATTCTTGTGAGGTTTCTTCAGTATTCATGTTTTGTTTGGCAAAGTCAAACAAAACATTTTTTTTCAGTCAGATCTCTCTGTGTGGGCCCCATGTGCTGTGTAGACAAACAGACCCACACACCATCATATTCACCCAAAAACAAAAATATGCAATTACCGCAAACGCACTGATGAAAACTTATTTTGTGAGTTTGTGAAGTTGTGCGTAAATAACACACAGTAATATCAGTGTTGCGTTTGAGTGCATGTAACATAAATCACAAAATGATGAAATACAACTCTTAGAAAACATGTGGTTTGTGGCGGTTTACAGTCCAAGAAAAACAATGAGAGACTCTTTAAGAAACTGAATATTTTAACCACTCAGTTCCCAGGAGAGCCACAGAGTAGATGCCCTGACCACCCAAGGATGTGTAGATGCATTTGGGAATTAATGGAGTCAAAAACACGCCTAAAAATCCTACTTAGAATCAGAAGTTGTATTTAATGTGTTTATTTTTGTACAATAAATAGATAAAATCAAAATGCAAACTTCAAAGATGAACTCAAAAGTAGCCTTGACATCCCCAATTAAGAAAACATAATCAAAAATAATACAGTTCAAAATGTACTTAAGTAATCAAAATGTGCAACCAATGTGATATATATGCCAAGCCATTGTGCATCCATAATTATCAACATTATAACGCATAAAACACTTGATATGTGAGTAATAAGTCCGTCATATAGTTTCCCATTGTAAGTTGAATTACAAAAGCGAATAAAATGTTGAACAATATTCTAATTTCCCCCTGTGTAAAAAAATACCCTACATTGTTGGATCAAAAAAAAAAAAATCCAAATGGGTCGGTCCCTTTGAGACAGAGCCACAGGTGAAGGAACGGAGCAACACATGTGTGAGTTTCCGCAGGGCAGGAATCTATTTGTTTGGGAGCTCGTCGTCATGGAGATAAGTTCTTAGGCCAGGACGTTCAAAGATGCCCTGTTTGGGATGAATGAAGAAAGATGTGTAGTGTGTGTGTGTGTGTGTGTGTGTGTGTGTGAGCGTTTGTGTGTGTGTGAGCGTTTGTGTGTGTGTAGAAAACTATGTGAAACAAACATATGTAAATCTAGTGCCACTGGAGTCAAATCAGAAAGCAAATTAAAAACGGTCAAACTGGATCGGTCCCTATCACCAGTCTGCTCCTTTCAGATAAAATTCCTGGCGAGTATGTCCGAGTATGTCTTGGAAACAGGTTTGTAAGAGTGAGATGTTCTGATATAAGCATTTGCAGTGATAAAAAAACAAAAAATGACTCCAGTTCACGACAGAGACAAAACAAACCGTGGTCTGAGCTTGTAAAAAGTCAGTGGGCAGAGCATCGCGTCTGCCATCTTTACAGCAGAGAAGATTCATTTTCACAACCGGCCGTTCAGGTTTTAAGAGTCCAAGTTCAATGTGGGCTTTTGTGAAACCATAGTCTGGTTATTATAGCTCTCTGGTTATTCATTCAGCAGAACAGCAGACTGAAAAGCCTTTAAAAATAATTCAAGTCACTAAGAAAAGACTAGATTGAAAAGAACGTGTATTCCAAAGCATCAGCACACAACTGTAAGTGATTTAAATGAAATATGTGACAAATTGACTTTGTGATACAAACATCAGAACTGAAATTGTGTTTAGATCCATCCATGCCAATATCAGGGACTTCTGACTCTACAAATGTCTTCTTTTACACTGAACCAGACCAGAGCAGAAGAGAGGAGGTGCAGTCCGAACCAAGCAGATCAGGTGTAAATTCAACTGGAGGAATGCACTTTTTTGTTGTTGAAAAATGCTAATAAAAATGCTAGTTTCATACTGA